TAAAGAGTTACATTGTTTAAAACTGAATGCTGAATTTTGTCGCACTGAAAATGAAGAAATGATCGTCGCAGTGAACGGAATTTATGCAATTGCGGAAAGTTCAGGACTTCAACGGGGTTTGAACCCGTGACCTCGCGATTACCGGGGCGATGCTCTACCAACTGAGCTATGAAGCTACTGACGATGGGAGTAGGTCAATTGCGGGTTTATATATCCCCGTGAAAGAAATGAGTGTTAATGATATATGAAACAAATCATATATGAACTGCGGAAATGAAATTTGACGCACTATTTGTGAACTATACTTTGCTTAGGTGCGAAGCACTTTCATCAAAACGAATTAGAAAAATGAAGAAAAAATAATCATTTACTATGTATTTTAATCTTATTCACCCGTGTTTCTACTTCATTATATTACTCCACTTTTTTAAGAGGGTCTTTCTTCTTGGCATATGCGGTCAGTGCGGACGAGCGGAAAAGCGAGCGAGCAATGAAATCAGCGCGAACGGTTGAAAATAGGCGGGAGGAGAGAAGGGGAGAACCTGTAACCATTATTTCAAATCGGAATTCAATCAGCCTACTCAGACTCAGTGGCGAATACAGACCTTCAGACAAGAGGGGGCGGGGGGGGGGGGCAATCAGACACACCCTGAGATAAGGGGGGCGGTCTCAAAAAAAATGTTTTCAGGCCTTCGGTCCTCAGTTTGGTCTAAAAATAAGGGGGAGACCGGGTCCCCCGGACCCCTCCCCTGGATCCGCCACTGCCACTGCCCCGTACTGAAAAACCGTTCCTCGTGTCAAAATGTCAAAACGTCAAAAGGTGCGGTGTGATCCCGTCTCTAACGTTATGACTGACGTCCATGTATGATACCGACACTTAAGGTTTAATTGTCTTTCAATTGCTAAAACTAAAAGAGAGAGAATTTTTTGGAGTTGAATTCTAAAGTTCATAAAACGATTGGAAAAAATCGTCGTCTTGCGGGCGTCCTCTTACGATGCTCGTGAAAAGTTGTTGTGTTGCTTAATAAACTTATCACTGTTTTTGTTGTTCTCGTTACTGTTGCCGTCATCGTTGCTGTGAGTACTGCTCCTAACCAGGAGCCCATAAACAGGAGCGAGCAACTCCCTTGTATGTCACGGCGTTTTTGCGGACCAGTTTATTTTAGACGCATTTTAGGGCACTTTTCCCCCGAAAATAGAATCTCCACCATATCTATGAGCGCATTCGAAGAACAAGATTTAAAAAAGGGAAACTAAACGCTTTTAAAAGGCAAAAAATATCCTTTTTAGGTCTGTCGGTTTTGCTGACTGGTTTGTGGAATTTAAAAGATATTCAAAATTCGGGGTGGGGGGCGGTCATCCACAGACCCTGAGATAAGAGGGGGAGCGGTCTAAAAAAATTTTTTTCGGCCCTTCGGACATTAGTTTGGTCTTAAAATAACGGGGGGGGGCGGCCCTATTACATCGGAAGATTCAGATCTTGAGGAACGATTTCTCGGCCCACACTCAGCTATGCGGACAACCAGATCTTATCTGCCAACCTAACTACCCCACCCCCTAGCCATCATTTTGTCCCAACGTGGGTGTTAATGTCGGATTAGGGGAGGGGTAGGTGGGGAGTGTCCTGTACGCAAGGTAGGTATCTTATCTTGGCAACCCTTCAAGGTTTCAAACCCTTGGCAGCAATGCCATGCCCAAACGTCCGCCAAGTCTCCTCTTTCTGGGTCTCTAAGATACCAGCAAAATCGGACCAATCTTTTTTACTCCTGTAGCCTGCATAACAGGCGATGTTAATTCGAGTTTTTTATGCCAGCTAAGGCAAGCGGAAGCGAGCGAGGAGAGCCAGACACAAGCGACGGGGGAAGCGCTCCTCGCTCAGCTGTTCGCGCTTGCCTTCGTTCGCCTGAAAAACGATAAAAAAAAATAATGCCTGTTATACAAGCTATCACTCCTGGGCCAAAATTAAAGGTGGAATTTATGAAAAAATATAAAAAACTAGACTAGCCCACAGGCAAGAAGGGAAGGCCTTCTATGTTAAAAAACAAAATGTGTTTTGAACAGAACTGGTTAGCTACAGCGCTGTCTCTGCTGAATCAATGCGTTCCCTTTTGAGACTTCCTGTATTGATGATAAAGATTAAAAAACCCTGATTACAGTTTTATCGTTGAGCTGCATTTATTAATAAAAGGGCATAACCCTGTAAAAGAGAAATCAAGCTTTTAAAATTTTTTTGTGTGTAAAACAAACGTTTTTCGTTTACGGGAGCAAGCTTTTACGACTTTGTCAGTTTTTCCTTGGCGTTTTCCTTTCTCGCCAAATTTAATAACCGGTTTTTCCGCCTTACAAATGGTTCACCCGCCTTCTTTTCAAAGAATTTATTTGAAATTTTAATTAACCTTACAAGTCCCAAATGCCTCGAAGTGTACGTGGTAAACAACCCTTGTTCTTGCGTAGTACATAGGCACGTGCAGTAAGAAAATCCAATCAGAAATTATTATTCAAATCAGAACGTTACTTCGCGCCGCATTCAAAAATTGAAAGCTTCGGTTGAGAAAGGACGAAAGTTGCTTTCGAAACAAGACCCTCTCACATAAACTGACAATCCATCTTTCTCAGCTTCACTACAAGAAAGCTCATCAAAACGTACTGTGGAAACAATCTGAGAAGTTAAAACCAGCGCCTGAGGTAAATTACTTGTTAAAGTTGTCGTCAATTCGGTTGACTTTATATTCTGTCAAGTCCAACTTCAAATTGAGTCATTTTTTTTGTCGAATGTTCTTGTTCTGAAATTAATTTATTTGTTCTCAGAGGAGAATTAGCTAGTAGAAATGTAAGCAAATTGCTGCTCAAGCAAAATTAGTCCATGATTTGAAAGGCCTTCGTAGTACAAGGTCGCACACGTGGCTGTTACTAAATTACACGGAAAACTCATTGGAGACCTCAATGTCCAGAAAAGAGGCCCAGCAAATTACGTCTTTCTTTTCCTCCATAAATATATATTGGTTACTAAGAAAGAAATTTGCAGAAACGACAAATTTGATTTATTTTTTTTCTCGGTGTACAACAGAGAGATTTTGACGGACGGCGACGGCTGCGAAAACTTCACTTAAAAAGTGAAATTACGCTTCCTCAAACTTTATCGCGCTTA